TCGTAGCAGAGTCGGCGGCGCAGACAATGCGTCCACAATGGCGGCGCAGCTGCGACGCGTTTGCTCGGCGGTCAATGATGTGCATGTGATTCAGGTATTGTACATTAGTGGTTTGGATTGCTTTCATCGTGCTACATATGGGTACAACGAATAAAGCGTTGACAATGAGTTTCTCGTTCTCATTGTCCGCTTCTATACCTCTGATATTGTTATTTTTTCCTAAATTATATATTATACTTTTACATCCGGAGAAGAATGTGCGAGCATCATATACTACTACAAAATTGATACGGTGAGTTGGTTTGGGTTAAAATGAAATATTGTTGTAAAATTACAATCTTTAGATGTCATTTTGGTAACTCGCAAGGGGCCTACGATAGCAAACATCTGTCGAGCAAGACCACACGAACATCAGTGCAGTCAGCATCAGTGAGGTTGGTTGATTAGAGGAAATAATTCTGGTTTTTTTCTATCCTTGCGTCCTTAAAAAATATTTGTCTCTTTTGTTCATTCCTTGGATGCGGTTTGGGCGAAATTTTTCAAGTTCGTACCAAAAAGGGACGCTCTTTCTTCAGCGTTTTCGGCATGGACCGAATCTCGACGTAATGTGGTGTGAGGCGGCACAAAAGTGGGCGCGGCTCCAATTTTTCGTGGTTTCACGACTGTCGCCTTCACTCTCCCCTCCTTTCCCACATTTGTCCGTCAGAACAAAAATAGATGATTCCTTTAGGAGCTCAACAAAATCCTCAAGTTTGGCTGGAGGTGCTGCTGGTGGTGGAGTAACTCGTACAGCATCCGTCCATGTACCGGTGGCAGCAACTAAGAGCGGAATTCAAGTGGACAGTTCTACGCAAACAGACAGTATGTCCCCTTTGTATGACTTGATTTCTTTATGTAATTATCTTGATTTTATGTGTTGGCGGAAAGTTTGCAAGATCTTTCTCGATAGTGGGCAAGAAGAAGCCGGTGGATGAAGATGTAGCCCAATTGGTGGAGGCTTGTCGTCGATATCAGGTAAGAGCGGATTTTGATACGGGAAGGGGGAAGTGTGAGTTTTAAAAGACTTGAAGTCTAAAAGAACCGATTTTAGGATGAAAAATTCTGCGCAACAGCTGCCAATCTGCTGCTAGAAGAACAAGAAGACGAAGTCGGCGCACTTCTGGCGGATTCCATCGAGAACTCGGTACGGACGGTGTTGTCGACGGTGGCTGGCGGTGTACGACCGA